CTTAAAATTATTTTTAAAAGACATTTTTAGACATTCGACCTACCTAACCTAAAGTCGATGGCGACTCCATCTAATTTCATCCAAATTAATTTAAAATCACCTAATTTTTTTCAAATTAAAGTCATAATATTTTTAAAATAATATAAAATTGTTTTTTTAATAAAAAATGGTTATCACAGGTGACGTGACAATCATCGTATGTACCAAATAGGTAATGACACTATAAAAGTATTTTTGGAACTAAAAGCACTTTTAAGACAAAAGCATCATATCGAAAACTGATTTTAGATGAAACTATAAGTTTCTGACACTTGTTAAAGAAAACGTTTTTGTGGAATTTATTTATTTGTTTTATTTATATCATCAATTATTTTACATTTTAAAAATAATGTCTAAAATAAATATTTTATCTAAAAATATTTTTACAATAATACTGAACATTTTAAGATTTTAAAATTATTAAATTAAAAGTTAAAAAAATTATTAAATTAAAATTATGTAATTAGCTAATCATTAAAATTTAAGATATTAATATAGTAAAAATTTTAATTATATAATAAGTAAAAATAATTAGTTAAATAAATCATTAAATTATATCATTACTTTTACTTATTATATAATTTAAATTTGTTATTATATTAATATATTAAAAATACATACTAAGATTAAAAAAATATATTACTTAATTAATTTAATGAAATAGCAATTCCGACATACGTAGTATATCATAATATATATGTGTGTATATATATATATATATATATATATATATATATAACATCAAGTAGAAATTTGATTTTTTTCTAAAAGTATTTCTAAAAAATAATATAAAATAATTAAAATTTTAAAACAAAACTATTAAAATAAGTTTTCACAATAAATTTTAAAATCACTAATTAATTATTAAGTTACTAAGCTATACATACATTTAGAGGGCGTTTGGTTCACAAATTTAATATTACCTTTGAGAATAAGATTATTAGAATGTAACATTATTATAAGAATGTTGTATTACATTGTTTGGTTTGTTTAGCAGGAATATAAAATTACATTGTTTGGTTGTGTATGGTTAGAGGAATATAAGATTATTTGGATGCATATACCAAATTATCTTTGTGATATATGTTCTTTTTAATAAGTTAAACTTTAATATTAAATTATAAATATTTGAATGAAAATTTATAAAAATATTTTAATCGTTACACTATCTAATTTTAAAGAAAAATACATTTAACATACAATTAATGTAATTAGTATATGAAACTTATATATTTTTTTAATATTTTTATATAATATAATAGAATATAAAAATAATATTGTGATCTTGAGTGGACAAATATATTATTTTTCAATGTATAAGATCTATTTTTTAATAACTCAAAATTAGATATTATTTTAAATAATTACATTTTTTACAATAATAATATTTTCACCATATATGATTATAAAATAATTAATATACTAAATAGTAAAAATATAAATTAATTTTAACTACTCAAATTTATTAATATTTTACTAAATTAAACTCTTTGTATATTATTATTAAGTTTATAAATTCGAGTAAAGCACAAAGAATAAAAATTGAGAATGATCCAGATGAAAAGAATTAATTATTTCATTGGTATATGTGTTCAAAGTGGTGGAGATTGTTTATTACCTAAGAATTTGGAGGTAATAATATTTCAATATTTTTTAATCAAAAAGTGCTACTATTGGTAATAAGTTATTATATAGTAATGATTTTTTTCGTAAACTAAATGTTACAATACAATTATGGAAAAGATCATTCCCCTATTAATATTATTTTTTGCAAACCAAACGCCCCCTAACCTTTTTACTCAAATATACCTTATTAAAAATTATTTCTCATCATGACACTCAAAACCAATTAATTCTTGAATGGGTATTCTTTTCTAGGGGTGCACAAAAATTTGAATATCCGATTTTGCGCAAAAAATATCCGAAAATGGATTTGGAAAAAACCAGTTTTTTTAAACCGGATCGGATATTTAAAAACCAGATAGTATAATCGGTTTGGGAAAAAAATTAGACGATCGGTTTTTTTACAGGATTAAAAACCGTTTTGAAAAAAACCGGATAAAAAAACGATTTTATCCGAAAAAATCTGGTTTGAGGTTTTAAAAACTAGCCGTTGGGGGGGTTTTGTGACCCTTTTTTGACCATTTTTTTATAAAAAAATCACCATTTTAACACCCTAAACATGTATGAATAAGTTGTGATATATTTGGTTGATTACAACTTTCTCAAATCTTATTACACAACACCTAACCTCCTTTCTGCCGTGCACGTCAAGTCAACACTTAAAAAATCCAGTAACACTTGTAGTTTGAATGTAACAGCCACCTAGCAAACAAAATAAACAAGATTCCCCCCCTTCTATTCTACTCTCTTGATCCAAGGTCGGTGTCGGAGGTAGTACATAAAATTCCATTAATTTTTTTAATTATTAATTACATTGGTGAGTTTTTTAAATTAGCTGTTGATTTGGCTGTTCAAATATTAATTTCGATTAACTTCTTCCTTTTTTCTGTTTTTTTCGTAATTACGTTGGTGAGTCTTTGTGAACAGTGAAGAGGAGAAATTGATTTGGTTATAGTTGCTTGTTTCGATATTATTTTTCCTTTTATGTTGGAATTATTCTATTTCTTAGGGATTTTGATTGTAGAATAGTTTTGGTTAGTATTCAATTTTGCTTCTGAAATTGGAAGGGGGGGGGGGAACTCACTTTTGTTAGTGGAATGTGAAGTACTGTTTAATAGTAAGTTTTGTGGGTGATTGTGTGTTTGGCAGTTTGTAATTGTATTGATAGGGTTTAAGGGTGAGAGTTGCTGTTACTGGGGATTCAAATGATGGGATCCCAAATCAATGGCCAAGACTCTCCGGTGGGGCAGAATTCATGGTCATCTGTCCAACATCGGGCTAGCCTAACCTTGGTTAAAGCTCTTAGTGGGAAGACGGTCGATCAAGTGTGGAAGGAGGTACAAGGGAAGAGGAGAGTTATAGCAATGAGATGGATCATCAAGAAGGAGAAGCAACACTCGGTGAAACGACATTGGAGGACTTTTCGGTGCAAGCGGGACATTTTGTTGCCGAAACAGCTTTAGCGCCGACTATGGAATTGGATAGCACAACGGAAAGTTTTTCGCATCAGATCGGATCCTCACTTGCCCCGTCAATTGGCATGTTATCGGAGCCACAAGATGCACTTGAGAAGAAGGTAAAGAGAAAGGTCAAGAACAGGGAATCAGCTGTGGAATCGGATAGAACCCCGCATCAGATCGGATTGTCACCTACCTCGTCAATTGGCACGTTATTGGATCCACCTTTGACGGGGCGGAAAAGGGATACACAAGATGAACTTGAGAAGAGGTTAAGGAGAAAGATGAAGAACAGGGAATCCGCTGCACGTTCACGAGCCAGACAGCAGGCAAGCCTTTCAACATCCTTTTGGCTAATTTGTACAAGTAAACTATTGTTCCTTTAATTGTATGCACCCCCTGCCTTTTGGTTTCGAACAGGCTTACCGTGATGAGCGGGCGAGCAAGGTTTCACGACTGGAGGAGGATAACCTGAAGCTGAAGAAGGACAAGGTAGAATCTTTATCCGAGATTCTATCTAGCTCCACATCCACACTTAAAACATGTTTTCCCAATACTTCTTGCATTTGCATGTTGTTTACTGGTTTCGTGTTTTATATGTTTGCTTGCAACCTAATGGAAGGGCCATGACCGAAGCAATACATTGAATGCTTTTACTTATATCTGACTGTATTTTCCCCCAACATCCTTACAGGAATTTGAGATTAAGTTTCAATATGAACCGTCAGAACCTAAATATCAACTTAGAAGAACAAGCTCGGCCTCTTTCTGACATATATCCTCCGATTACTGGAATTGTGCATGGCCATCCTTTAATTTGTTGATGGGCTTCCTAGGGTTCGGTTGGTGTACATTTATGATTAGATATGTCGTCGGGAAACTGTCTATTTTGGCTGAAAGATAAGTGGTGCTAGTATTTGATATATGAAATATTGTTCATGGTAGAATTTGATGGTTTTAGGGAGAGTAGTGAGTCGAGGACGATGGTGAGAGAGAAAATTCAACCCCTCAATCTTGTATAAAGGTTTTATAGTGAACCCTAATATTGATATTAGATTTAGAGTTATGAAGATAGTGACTCGTAAGTTGATAATACGCCTTATAGTAGATGTAGTTGTTAGATCATGTAAATATGTCAGAGGTCATGTCAAAAATCTGTGATTGCTCTCTGATAATATGGATATATAGAGGATTTGATTAGCATAAAAGTTCTTCTAGAAACTTTCGATAGGCGAAGAAATTACAGTGGAGATGTGACTTGCATATAAGATCTATATAATAGAAGGAATGTCATAAAATGATTTGATCATAGACTTGCATGTAAAATAGTTTATTGTATTTAATGAGCTACTCTTTGATTATAATGATTTTCAAGATTATATCTTAATTCAAATCTGATTCAATATTTAATAATCCTCTTTTCAATCGAGCCTAACCTGAGTTTTGAGGTTAAAATTTGCTTCGATTTGCTCTAATAGGAAATAAATAAAAAATATATATCCATTTTGTTTTAAAGATAAAGGATAATAAGAAAAGAAATATAAGTAAGGATGTAATTAAGAAAAAATATAAATGATGAGTATTATAATAATTATATCTATATATAAAGAGAAAAATTATATTACTATATTAGATCAAATAAAATATTTTTCATTATAAATCTAAATCCGTTTGATATAATGTTTGTCCATCCGGACTCGAACTCAGTTTTTTTATAGAGAAATTCGATCCACGTGACGCACAATTCCGTTTAAATTCAACCTGTCTCATTTAATTATCCACGTCAGATCATCATCCTAGTCATCTCACACCTTTGAGAGAGAAAAAGGTCTCAGGAAATTAAAATAGGAACGGCTTCACATTCAACACTTCCCCTTTAATTTTATCCCAGAAGGAAGAGCAAAATGAAAGAAGAAGCTCTGAGCAGAAACAACCGTTTGCTAGCACTTGCAGTTGATTTCGTTTTCAGTGTCAGTCTTGGTAAATACATCCAAAATCACTGTCCTTTCAATCACACTGCTTTATTCATTTCAATTACCAAAACGGTTTCTTTTTCAGCTGTTTTTGGCTTTCCTCTGTGGATCCATCAGCACTGAAGATATGGGAAATGCAAACGGAAGAGAACATGAAGCCAACGGGGATCTCTCTGGAAGCTTCAACGGCGACGAGCCGATCATTCTTCGAGCCGCCTCTGCAGCAGCCGCAGTTCGCGTGCCGTCATCTGATTCAATGGCGAATACTCCGCCGCAGAGCCCGCGCCGGTCCCGATCCCCTCTTTTGTTCGCTCCTCAGGTGAGCATTTCAATTATCTTCTCACGGTCCTTGAATTTGTTGTGTTTTTAGTATTCCAAGTTACTCAAACAATGGAAACTTAGATTTTGCCTCATAATGCATAAGATCAGGGAAAAAATCTGAGCTTTCATTGCAAATTTGATAGAAGAAATGTGACTAGTAAGTGAAAAAGAATCGATTAAAAAATCAATGCTTCTGTTGGATCCTTAAATACAATGGTATAACATACTTTGATTGGTTCAGTTCATTGTTTTTAAAATTGTTCGAGAAAGTTACTGTATTTCCACATGTTAAAAGGGGATGCTTTGATCTTTGCTATCATTTTGTGCTGATGATTGATGAGAACTAAACTCTGAAAACATGGTGGTGGGGCGGGGGCGGGGGCTGGGGGAACAGTGTTTGATAAGACTAACAAGGGACAATACCCCAAATTGTTCAAATCTTGAAAAAACATGGATCGGTATCTTCTTTACGTTTTAACTTGGTTTTGGATATCAACAAATCAACAATTTTGCTCAGGTAGTAATTTATCTTTGTTTTAAAAGAAAATTTGTTTCAGCGCCATAGTGATATTGTTTCGACACATATTTGGTTTATTGTCTATTACTGGAATTGCCAAGAAATGAGGAGAGACTGGAGGACCGTGTTTATATGATTTACCTATGAAGTGAATAGTTTGTATATTGGAAGTGGCATTTCAACAGTCAGTCTGGTTGCTTTTGGAGTATTTTCAGGTTCCTATAGCTCCCTTACCAAGGATTGATGGCCATTCCTTTTTCAGCCAAATTTGGCTGCATGATTCTACTGGTGTTGCTGATAGTCCATCTGAGAAAGGAATCCCCGTAATCATTGCATGGAATTATGGTGGTAATAATGTGGCCGTCGAAGGTTCTTGGGATAATTGGAAATCAAGGTAGGTCTTCAGTTCCTTAATATTGCAGGCACACATTTTCATGCATACAAAATCCTGCTGTTCCTCTTTCTGTCTGAAATCCAAGCATGGATGGGCATATAACAGAGTCTATTATTGTCCTCTTCTAGGAAGACACTGCGGAAATCTGGTAAAGGCCACTCAATTCTTTTGGTTCTTCCATCTGGCATATACCATTACAAATTTATTGTTCATGGTGAATGGAGATATGCACCTGATCTGCCCTTTTCAGGTGATGAAATGGGCCACATTTGTAATCTTCTTGATGTTCATGTATGTATCTTCTTAAATGTCCTCCTGCTCCACTTTTGAATCTTTCAACTTTTAATTTTTCTACCTCATGTAATGATGATTTCGTGGGCTGTAGTTACTGTAGTATGAGTGATTGGCATGCAAAACTTTGAATTTACAAATTTAACATATGCTGTTGTGTATTTTTTTAAAAAAAAGAGGGTTTCGGGAATATTATATCAAGCACACAATGATGAACGAGAAAGAAATGTTTCACATTGGTCCTTTCACATTTAAAGCTTCTCACTAATTGGTTTTATGAATTTACCCTTTTTCTCTTTGGCTATAATTAATATCTCAATGATGCTTGTTGTGACTATTTTTACCGTCTTCGTTTGCATAGTTACTTCTCAGTATTTCTTGCAGGACTATGTGCCCGAAAATCTAGATAGCGTAACTGAGTTTGAGGCTCCAGGATCTCCAAATTCCAGTTATGGTCAGGCATTTCCAATGGAGGAAGAATTTGCAAAGGAGCCTGCTGTAGTTCCATCCCAACTACATCTAACAGACCTCTGTCCCGATAACCAAGACATAGCATCATCCTCGAAGCCTCAACATGTTGTACTTAACCACCATTTCATCGAGAAAGGATGGGCATAGCAATCTGTTGTTGCCCTGGGTTTGACCCATAGGTTCAAGTCCAAATACGTAACTGTTGTACTCTATAAGCCACTCAAAAGGTAACGGGTACTTTTCCCAAGCTTCAATCTGTAAAGAAACCAAAGTAACTTTCACGTTTGCTTGTGAAAAAAGGTGCCTCTGTTCTATTGACCTGCTTTGACACTTCAACACGCCCTTTGTTTTGTTGTACTCTTTTGGTGCAAAGTAAGTCTCAACCCGAAAAATAAAAGATTGGGTTACAGACGTTAAGATTCGAATTTCAGTATATAATATTTTAAAATCGGCTGCATGAATTGTCTGGGTTAAGCTTCGGTTTTGGTGGTTGTACTTTCAACATTTTGTTACCATAAAATGTTTCATAGGACTAGCAGCTTGAAAGTTAATCAACTGTTATGCTGCTTATTGTGTATCTTTAACGCATTCAGTTGATATGTAAAACCAATTAAGTGGAGTTTTATTACCTCTCACCTAATATGTAGCACTCTAAACCAGACTCGATCAAGTCTAAAGGAATCCTATGTCACACAAAATCACTTAAATGACTAATTCATTTTTTGGGGTAAAAACTCATTACTTAAAATCTTTTAAAACATAATATTCTTATCATAAATAATAAAATAAAGGTTCTATGAACACATACCCCAAATAAGAACTAAGGTATTGTACTTTAAACACGGCTAGGTGTTAGAATCCCTCTCTCATAAAGCTCCTTGAAAACTATCTAATCTAGTCCCTTACAAACTTAAAGATCATAACGTTGAGCTTGACAAGTTGAATGACACACGACTTTACTACGATAATCCATATAATTTATAACATAAACATGCAGTACAAATATAAGTGTGGATGTAAAGGAAACAACAGACATGAATCATCTAAGTATACATCACATAATAACAACATATCATGCATTGCTATTACTATCAATATCACACAACACATCATAGAAGTAAAGGATCATAGTGTCCGGATCACATAACATTAGATAAACAATTCATACAACGCCTAATCGACATAGCATCACGCATTAGAACGAAATGATATCCGATCCACACAACATCAGACACTAGAACAATATAGTTTCCAGTCCAGATAAACCCAAACAACCCTTATAGAACTCTCCACAAAATGCTAATTCAGTCCACGTAACATCAAGTAGCACAAATCAAGAATATACGATCACTTATCCTATACCACGCATGGTTGGGTATCAAACAACTCCAATGCGGTCATATCAACAATCATCGAGCAATACGTGTTGCGGAAGACGGCTATCGGATAGAGCAAAATCGCAACTGATAATTTGAGAAAATAAAAATGAAAATAAAGAAGACACAAAATTTACGTGGAAAATCCCTAAATAAAATAGGGTAAAAACCACGGGCAACTGTAGTATTGGAAGAAAGCTATAATGCTTTGGGATGGTTTTGAAGCTAAATAAGCTAGGGTATTTATAGTTGAAACCTAAGGACTAATCTTGTAAATACCCTAAAATTAAAGTGACTAAATTGGGTATTTTACCCTTGCTAATTTTCAACAATTTGCAGCCATTTTAGACTAATATTAGCCGCCCATATGCTAAATTCATTTTTGACTTTCAACAATCTCCCACTTGAAGATTTGATTGAAACAATCATATTTTGACACCATTCTTTCTACCTTATACCATCATGTTGCTTACGTTTCTGACAGACCACAAGAGGATCGACACCAATTAAATTTATCATCATTGATTGCATTCGTCATGAAATCTTCTATGTTGTCTTTGGTATGGATCTTCTGCATATCTACCGTTCCTTCTTCCACCTTTTCACGAATGAAATGGTACTGAACTCGTATGTGCTTTGTCCTTGAATGAAATGTTGGATTCCTTGCTAGATGCAAGGCGCTTTGACTGTCACAAAACAAAGAGACATACTCTTGATTGTGCCCAAGCTCCTCCAATAACATCTTCAACCAAATTACTTCTTTACTGGCTTGTATAGCTGCTACATATTCTGCCTCTGTTGTGGATGTAGCCACAATTGACTGCAATTTTGAAACCCAGCTTACAGCTCCACCAGCAACTTTGAACACATATCCTGTAGTAGATTTGCTTTTATCCAAATCCTCTGCATAGTCAGAATCTACATAACCATTTATTAGTAAGTTTGATCCTCCATAACATAATGCAATATTTGAGGTTCCTTTGATGTATCTCAGGATCCTCTTCACTGTATTCCAATGCTCTTTTCCTGGATTCGCCATGTACCGACTAACCACTCCCACTGCTTGTGCAATGTCTGGTCTTGTGCATATCATAGCGAACATTAAACTTCTCACTGTTGATGCATACGGTACTCGAAACATCTCCATCATCTCTTCTTCACTACTAGGACTCATACTGGAGGATAATTTGAAGTTAATAGGAAGAGGGGTAAAAATTGGCTTACAATATTGCATGTTAAATCGTGACAAGATTTTCTTCAAGTAATTCTTTTGTGAAAGCCAAATCTTCCTATTACTTCTGTCTCGGTGAATTTGCATCCCTAGAATCTTGTTTGCTGATCCCAAGTCCTTCATTTCAAATTCCCTAGCCAGTTGTGCCTTCAATTCTTCAATATGATCTTTGTTGGGTCCTGCAACCAACATGTCATCCACATACAACAGCAATATAACAAAATCGTTATCACCAGACCTCTTGAAATAAGCACAAGGGTTTGCATTAAGTCTGTTGTATCCAAGGCACATAATGAAGGAATCAAATCTCTTATACCAACACCTCGGCGCCTGCTTTAGTACAGAGATTTGTTCAACCTGCAAACCAAGTTCTTCTTTTCGTCTTCTTCAAAACCTTCAGGCTGGAGCATATAAATCTCTTCTTCAAGATTTCCATGAAGAAAAGTTGTTTTAACATCTAGCTATTCCAGATGTAAATTCAATGTAGCACACATTGCCAAGACTACTCGAACTGTTGTTAGTCGAACCACAGGAGAAAAAATTTCATTGAAATCAATACCTTCTTTCTGAGCATATCCTTTGACCACCAGTCTTGCACGATACCTCTCCACTTGATCGTCACCATTTCGCTTGATTTTGAAAACCCATTTGTTACCAATTGGCTTCCTTCCTTGTGGTAGTGGCACAATGTCCCATGTATTATTTTTATGAAGGGCTTCGATTTCTTCTTGCATCGCCATCATCCACAGTGAAGCATCTAAGCTGTTTATTGCCTCATGATATGTTGATGGCTCACCGTCCTCTGTTAAAAGACAGTATGCAACATTTCCTTCTATAACATAATCTGAGTGCCAATTGGGACGTCTTCTTACACGATCTGATTGACGAGTTGTTGGTGCTTCAGAACTCTCTGGTTCTTGTTCATCATGTGCTGGTTCTTCTTCAAAAGAATCTCCTTGTTCAAACTCCTTTTCCACATGTATCTGTGTAGTCTTTGACTTTTCAGCGCTGCCATCGTCTTCTTTTCTTTGCAGCTTATCTTCTACAAAGATAACATATCTACTGATGATCACGTTGCGGGCAGTGGGATCCCACAAGCGATACCCCTTTACTCCATCAGCATACCCCAAGAATTTGCATTTCCTGGATTTTGGATCCAACTTTGAAATTTCTTGGGAGTTGTACATCACGTACACTATACTTCCAAATACATGGAGGTTTGAATAATCAGCTGGTTTTCCAGTCCACATCTCCATTGGTGTCTTCAGCTCTATTGCAGTTGATGGAGCTCGATTCACCAAATAACAGGCGGTATTGACTGCTTCTGCCCAAAATGATTTTTCTAGGCATGCATCTCTCAACATTGCTCTTGTTCTTTCTAACAAGGTTCTGTTCATCCGCTCTGCCACTCCATTTTGTTGAGGAGTGTTCGCCACTGTGAACTGTCTTTTGATGCCTTCTTTCCTGCAAAAGTCATCAAATTCTTTGCTTGTGTATTCTCCTCCATTATCTGTTCTAAAACACTTGATCTTATTTCCAGAATCAAGTTTCACCCGTGCCTTGAAGTTTTTGAAAGTTGAAAACACGTCTGACTTCTTCTTAATAGGATACACCCAACATCTCCTGGAGTAGTCATCAATAAATGAGACAAAGTATTTTACTCCACCTAGGGATGTAACTGGTGCTTTCCATACGTCAAAGTGAACCAATTCTAGAACACTTTTGCCTCTAGAATTTGATTTGTTGAATTTCAATCGGTGATGCTTACTTGTTATGCAATGCTCACACAAATGAAGTATTACATTTGTTAAGCTTGGAAGTAGCTTTTGCTCCACAAAGACTTTCATTCCTTGTTCTGACATGTGTCCAAGTTTCTGATGCCATAGCATTGCAGAATTTGGACTACATGAGGCAACAAAGGCTTCTGCTTCTAGCAAAGTCTCTCCCTTCAGCATGTACAAGTTTGCAGCTATCTTTTTGCCTTTCAACACCACAATCGCTCCACGGAACACCTTCATGATTCCTTTCTGTGTTTCAATCTTGCTTGCATTATTATCCAACAATCCGTAGGATAATAAATTTTTCTTCAAGCCCTTCACGTGCCGCACATCTCGAACAACTTTGATTGTTCCATCATACATCTTCAATTTGATGGTTCCCACACCAACGACCTCTAAGGCGTGATCATTGCAACTATACAAAGATCCTCTTGAGACAAGTTCATACTGATGGAACCATTCTCTTCTTGAGGTCATGTGATATGTTGCTCCCGAATCAATGAGCCATATATCTGCAAATCGTTTTCTACCTTCCACGGTGGTTGACGCTTCACAGCATAGAGCATCTCCATTATCTGAAGTGTTTGCGGTATTGCCTTGTGGATTGGAGTTTTTATTTAGACTCCAACAATCCTTCTTCAAGTGACCCTTCTTTCCACAGTGGTAGCACTTTAAATTCTTTTTGCTTCTTGACTTCGATCTACCATGTTTGTGACTGCTGCTTTGGCCACGTTCTGTTGATCTCTCTCTCATCGTTGTCAACGCTTCTGCTTGTTGCAAATTTACTTGTCTGTCTTCCTTGTTTTTGCACCGATTTTCTTCTTGTAGAACAGCAGCTGCAACGTCATCGAAGACTAGACTGGTGACATTACTGTTTGTCAAGTTGATGATGAGTTGATCGTACGAATCCGGTAAACTTTGAAGTAGAAGTTCAACACGTTCTTGTTCTCTTATTTTACAGTTTAAGGATGTAAGCTGAGAAAATAAGGTGTTCAGTGTATTTAAGTGCTCCGTCACTGAAGTAGATTCTGGCATACGGAGAGTGTACAATTTCCTCTTAAGGAAAATTTTATTGTGCAGCGATGTGGCCTAGTACAATTTGGTGAGATGATCTCATATCTCCTTAGCTGTCTTCTTCTCCTCGATGCTTGACAATACTTCATCTACTAATGCTAGATGAAAGCTTGCCATAGCATTCCCATCCATCTCGTTCCATTTGATGTCATCTGCGAAATCCACCGACCTTTCATTGATAGCCGCTAGACACCCGTCTTTCCTTAGGATGGCCTTCATCTTGAATTTCCACAATGAGAAATTTCATCTTGAATCTCCCATTGAATTTTTCAATATCAAATTTCGTTGCCATAACTTCTTTTACGGATAGCTCCCACTATTTCACTATAGTGAATAGTTTGGTGAGATGATCTCATATCTCCTTAGCTGTCTTCTTCTCCTCGATGCTTGACAATACTTCATCTGCTAATGCTAGATGAAAGTTTGCCATAGCATTCCCATCCATCTCGTTCCATTTGATGTCATCTGCGAAATCCACCGACCTTTCATTGATAGCCGCTAGACACCCGTCTTTCCTTAGGATGGCCTTCATCTTCAATTTCCACAATGAGAAATTTCTCCCATTGAATTTTTCAATATCAAATTTCGTTGCCATAACTTCTTTTACGGATAGCTCCCACTATTTCACTATAGTGAATAGTTCTCTGGAACCTTCAAAGAATGGGTAATAACTTCTTATTTTCTTATGTTGGAGGATCCACCTTTTGGTGGCAACCACAAAGACAATAAGCAGATATTACACACTCTAATCTAGCTCGGATACCAATTGTTGCGGAAGACGGCTATCGGATAGAGCAAAATCGCAACTGATAATTTGAGAAAATAAAAATGAAGATAAAGAAGACACAAAATTTACGTGAAAAACCCCTAAATAAAATAGGGTAAAAACCACGGGCAACGGTAGAAGAATTTCACTTTGAGAAAATAGGAATTACAACTTCTCTCGATCTACCAAGGAGAAAACAATGATAATTCTCTCTTGATAAAAAGGAGAAAACAACTCTCAAGAAACTTTCTAAATGCTCTCTAGTATTGGAAGAAAGCTAGAATGCTTTAAGATGGTTTTGAAGCTAAATGAGCTAGGGTATTTATAGTTGAAACCTAAGGACTAATCTTATAAATACCCTAAAATTAAAGTGACTAAATTGAATATTTTACCCTTGTTAATTTTCAACAATTTGTAGCCATTTTAGACCTAATATTAGTCGCCCCATATTAACAGCCCATATGCTAAATTCATTTTTGACTTTCAACAATACGCCTAACTCTCTATCATGTTACTCTACATGAAATCCTCCAACAGTGCCCTTCTTTAATATCATCTGATAATACTCGTTAACGTCCTCCGTCAGGCAGTCTTCTATCCATGTTCTCCATTAAATAGTCTTTTGTCAGGCAATCTTTTATTAGGTAGGTCCTCCGTCAGGCAGTCCAATGACTATTTTTAAGTTTTTATGAATATAAAGTAAGATTTGTTTTGGTGGATTTTATCGCAAAAGGTACGATTCATTAAAGCATGTTTGCACAACACCCAACATGAACAATACTTAACACACGTAGCATTGTACCATGGAAATTATGAAGTATGAAAGGGTAATGTACTACATTGCACAAACTATCTAAAGGCAGCTCATTTATTCATCTGGGAGATTTTTTCCCCTTTCCTTTTGTTTAGGAGGGCCCCTCAACCTCTCTCAATTAAACAAAAAATAAGTTAAAATGGCGAATAAACTCAGAAAAAAGTGAAAGAAAATTGATGCAGAAATAGGACTCAAAATCGCTTAGTCAACCCTCTATCAAAATCCAACAAAAACTTCTTACCTAGCCAACAATGCAAAAGGAAAACTTACCTTCTACGAAATCCGAACATACTAATTAAAGTGAAATGTTCAATGGCTGCACCTCTGAGCTCCCAAAGGACTATTGAAGATGCATCGGTTAAGGTGAATGCAAGTGTTTCTATCGGTTCAAATGACGTTGAAGGTGGTGTGCCAAATGATGATGGTTCTGCACTTGATGATTCAACCTCAAAGGTGAAAATCGCACGCCCTGCAGTCACTCCACTTGCTCATATGCCTTACAGTGATCAGTTGGAGCACAAGAAGAATTCTTTCATGCAAATGCTCAAAAAACTTGTTAGAGACACTTTCTCATATGTTCTGTTTTTCTGTTTTTTTTACAGACTAGAAATGCACGTAAAGCTTGTCCTAATGGTGTTTCACTTCCTGAACGGGTTCTTAAATCTAGGGAAAGAGGTTTGTTTTCACCTTTAACACATTCAAAACTGATCCTCTGGTAAGTGTTTCTCTCTTATAAAAGGGTGATTGGATCCATCTTGTTTGTGCACAAATGGTGTTAAGTGGACCTCAAGAGGAACTTGTGGGAGACGTGAGTGGTACAGCTGCCTTTGTTTTATTTGCTGATACTTTGCTCTGCCCTTTATTTTTTCCCATTTCTTTCCTTCCAAGTTCCAAGGCAAGTCCCTTGCCACCTTCTCATATATCTGTATGCAGTAGTCGTGTCTGTCTATATATACTTTTGTTGCATAATTTTACCCTAAACATCGGGGATGGTCTCCGTGAATAGGTTTTTGTAATACTTAAATTTAAATCAATCAATAAATCGGATTCGGATATCGATTGTTATATATAAAAATACTTTATGATAACATTAGAGTTTTCTAACCTAATCCATCTTGCATCTTCATGGTTCATGTTCTTCTTTTCAACCTTTTAAGTGGATAGTGGATAGTGGGGCTGTTCCCTTTAACTTGGATCTTTTTATTTATTTATTTTATACAACAATTATAGCACTTAGCAGCCATTAAAACACCAAGTCTTGTTGGGGGTCCCTCTCCATTCTCCATTTCTTCCACTGGGTTTTGATAGTATCTTAGTTGCATACGTTACTTATTGTATACAAATTATTTATTCTCCCATCATTTTTGGAGGGGATAAACTAATATTTAGCCATTAAATTTGTTTTTTCAATTTAGTCGGTCAACTTTTTTATCCACATTAGTCTTAAAATCTGATAACTTATTTCTTTCAGAATTGTTTTATATAGTACTAGTATTTAATTCATTTATAGGTTAATTTGAATTGAATATTATTTAATATTGAATGAATTTATTATGATACAGTCCTTTCAATTTATTTTTCTGGCCTATATATGACATTAGAATTTAAACTTTCAATATTATTTAAGAGATGATCAATAATTACTTTTTGGGTAAATTATGTAACTAGTCATCTAATTATTTTCGTGGTTCCGTTTGTTTAAGTTTTTTTTTCCGACGTTAGTGTTCCACTAATAGTAAGTTACAAATTCCAGTAACATTTAATTTAGGGTAAACTATGTATTTAATCAGCCAATGATCACTTTGGTTCTAATTTAGTTATTCAAGTATTTTTTTTAAATCATCATTAATGTTAAATTTTAGTTTCTTTTAGTCATCCGTCGTTAAAAAATTAACAAATTGCTGACATAAAATTTTTATTTTTTCAATGAGGATGTGACATTATCTTATAGTGACATGTCAATATCACCGTTAATATTTAAATAGTGAGTGACCCAAATGAAACCAAAGCTTACCTTTAGGTATAATTTTGAAAAAAAATAATTGGATAACCAAAACAAAATTAAAGTGATAGCTGGGTGACTAAATACATAGTTTACGCTTTCATTTTATTTAATTGCTTCCTGAGAATGCAGAGTGACTGAAATTGGGCAAATTAAGGATCACAATCACAAAAACAAGAAAAGAAAGAAAGTGAGACGCCCAACTTGACTCTATGGACCCTCCTACTTTGAAAAACAAGTCTAAAATCAGATGCTGAGCTTTCTCCCTCAAAACCTACTTTTCTTCTTTCTTTTTCTACAATGGTTTGATGAGGAATCAATGGGAAGTTATACAGAACGGTACCTTTAATATATGATTAAAAAATGATATCAGTTTTATTATTATTTAAATAATAAAATCGGTAAAAAATTATATAAAATATTATTATTTTTACCAGTTTTGTTATTATTGACGTTTTACTGAGTTTGATAATATATTTGGTAAAGCGCTACCTAAAATATTATTTTTTTACCGGATATATTACCAAACTAGGTAAATAGCTCAATAATAACAAAACCGATAGAAATAATAATATTTCTGGTAATTTTTTACCGGTTTTATTATTTAAATAATAACAAAACTGATAACGTCTTTTTTAACCGTATATTAAAACTACCACACGTATTCATTTCTCGGAATCAATGGCTATTTAGGATTAACACTGAAATCCAATTTTTTTTACGTTGATTATTTATTTTATTAATGATATCTACTTTAAAATTTTATTTAAACGTATTTCATTCAAAAATATTTTATTATTAATATATATGTACTCATCTTTAAAAACTATTTTTAAAGAAGAATCAATACACCTTCAAATTTACCTATAATTTAACGAAAGGACTAAGTTTTCAATACCTGGTGTCTAAGTTTAATGACAAAGTTGAACTTTTGACATCATTTTTAGGTTTAATTTTAGTTTAGAATATATTTTAATAGTAAATTTTAATTATCTGACTTGTAATTATTGTAATTATATTTATAAATATTGATTTTGTGTTACTCATTCCTCAGTAGTAAAAGTAACCATGACTACTATTCCATTCAAAAGTTTGCTAGTTTGTCACCCTTATACAATTGTTGGACACACTTCCATGGATAAACATATGCAATTATGAGTAATGATTTCTTGGGTAAACTATATCTAAGGTCACTTAATTATGAGTTTGTTAATAAATATGTAACTTTTCTTCTAAAATTTGTAAGTAGATTACTTATTTAAGAAAATTAAATCTTAGATGAGTATAGTGATGCGATCTGATATAATAATAGTTTTAGTTCTTAAATTTTGTACAATTTATTAGTTGGATGTTGATTTAAAATAATTCAATAAATTTAACCCTTTATATTTTTTTGAAAAGGGTTTCTACGAATTATAATGAGACGTTCATACAAAAACGACATCGGAAGAGCCTTGTTAAAAAACTTCCCTAAGCCTAGGATGGAGAAAAAAGAGTGTGTATTCCAAGTCGAAGCTTACAATCTTTTGAGTAACTTGACCACCATCATACAACACACAAAAGAAACCCCACAAACAAAGCACACACAACACAAACACGAACATAACCCAACCGTCTAAACATGATAGAAATCCGAACACCATAACTAACACTAGCATACCCTCAAAAAGCCTTTGCACCAAATGCACTCAGAGGAGAAATGCACCAGCCCGATCAAAACCAGATGGAAAACGTGGCACACTGCAGTAGAAGGACAAACCAAAGATGGAAACCACTCGAATTAATACAACCGAATGGAATCTTAAAAATAAAGAAAACGACATAACAATCCTTCAGCCAACTGAAACAACCGATCACTAGCCGAAACACACGTAAAAAATATCAGTCAGTAAAATCAGTGTGTTCAGGCCTCTGTGGGTAAATCTCGCAACCTACAGCAAAAATAAGCCACGATTGCAGCAATATTATCCCAAAAATAACCACGCAAAGAAAGCAAAAACAAATCCACAAATGAGCACAGAAACGCTTGTGGCAGCAGCCGAAACAACACACATAAGAAGGCCTCACCCAAATATCTGCACCACTTCAGCATATTGTTACGCTTGGGTCTGACGGGTCGTACGACCTTAGACGCTTCTTGACACTTCTAGGTCTTTTATGCGACTAAGTAAGCCTTACCCAAGCCTAGTAAGCATGAAAACTCACCAAGGTTAGAACCAAGCCCTCAAGGATTCTAGGATGCAGAAGCTTTTACACGAACGTGGCTACTCCAATCCACCAAGGTTGAACTATGGTGTGGAAGTGCAAACACAAGTGTGACTACTCTTGGACACCAAGAGAGGTAATAAGAACCAAAAGAATAAAGAATAAAGAACATAGGAACTAGAGTAAATGCCTCAGAGTTTTTTTACTCTATCCCAAGAGAATGGAGGAATGAATGAATGGATAGATAAATACAAATGAATAGGAGAGACTCTCTATTTATAGTTGACATCTCTCTCAATCAACGACCTAGATCGATTTACATCAACGGCTAAGATATGCTCAATTAATACAAAATCCTATAAATCAAGGAAACTCAACCCAATCCTATCTAATTACATTCATTAGTAGGATTCTTTCCTTGTATAGGTGTTCACACTGGATATAGTAAGATTCCCTCACAATATCTTCCTGATTTGTTGTTTCTTGCCATATTTACAAAGCTCTTGTGATCAACTTCGGATTTGATGCCATTTTCCTTTTTTACACGGCCAATGTGAATGGGCTCCATAACATTTTCCAAGTGATGGGCCATATCTGGTGGCCTTGGCAAGCCCATACTCCGCATATAACCTCTTTAGTAAACACTTGCACCAATATCTCAGACCCAAAGATCATAACCCGTGACATTCTACCCTACCGAACCTAACGACACCCTTGTCGCTCTACTCGACGACCCTGGGCAACATCACATTGGATAACTTCTCAACAACTTGGCTTTTTATAGTTCTCCCATACGAACTGTTTGCCTTGACTTCTATTGCATGCAACTTCACGATCTCTCGCGTCATACTTCACATCAACTTGGTTGCCTTTCGACGTCTCCACTTGCTCATGTCCTCCCTCATAAGAACTCAACCTCCCCATAAAGGTTGTGCTTGCTTCGGCTCTTTTCTCCAAGTGATAAAAATGAGCTAACACGCCCACAAATACATATCTACTGTAGGAAACCTTTCCTATAAGTTTTGATTTATCTCATCTTGGATCATCCATGCCTTGTAGCAAAATCTTGGATCCCCTCCAAACTTTGTTTCCTCCGCTCTAAAAGTTAGGTCTTAATTGACCTACACTCACTAAAGACAGCAAATCAAACTCAAAAGAACACTAAAATCGTGTTGATATATACATTCTCATATGGTTTTATGGCATTTACTCAAAAATATACCAACTCTTCTTACTCTATGAAGTCTGACACTCCTCATAACGAACCATCGTCATTGGATTTATTTGCATTACCATGCATCGGTACTTTCTCATGGTAATGTCTGATGTCCCTTCTCGCCTCTTCCCTCTAACAAAAAAGTTGGAGCTCACTTCCCACCTTGCAAATAGGTAGCTTCTCCATGGTTGCCTTGTCCCTCAACGTCTTGACCCCCTTCGACTTTTGTCTAAAAGTCTCTGAAGGGCTGTTCTTTACTTGAATATCCTCGGTAATCACTTCCTTTGACCCTTCTCTTATGATGGTCTCTAAAGCCATGTTCTCTACACGAACATGCTTGGTAAACTCTTCAGACACGAAAAACTCTTACTGTACTTGGCTTCCACTCGCCTTGGCAGAAACAAACCTTATTGAGCCAAGTCTTAACGCCTCATCGATCTTGGGTTTATCATCTTCTCTGGATAACTCGATCCTGGGCTCATCCATCACTTTGGATGACTCGGCTCCCTTCGGGTAATCTTGTAACACATTTGGCATTTTAATTCGACCATTTGTTTGCTCAACTCTTACTCTCGACTTAGCATATTTGACACTTGTACTTGTGCCAAGTATATATATATCTTCCCCAGACTTACCATCTGGTTCATCATTGAGTGGACTTTCTCTTCCACTCGAGGAATAACATACCTCATCTTTTGACTTGCCTTTATCACGGATTCCCTTGCCACTACCTCGACTTTAAGATTTGCCTTGGAAGTCTTGCTCTTCTTGACTTAAACTCTTTAATGGACTCGGCTGTTTTCAAGGCTTTAGACAACTCATTGATTTTCTTTCGCTCCAACACTTTTTTGCTCGTGGCTTCAATCCGAACAAGAAAGCGAAGAACCCATCTTCTTCAGTCAAACTCGGGACTTTGAGCATGAGCTTTCTAAATCGACTCACATACTTCTTAAGTGTTCCTTTATGCCTGAGACGTCTCAACTTGGACTACACCTCCATGTTAGCATATTGTGAGCAAACTTGCTCACTCTCCACCATCGACTTGACGACTTTATCTTTCATTATCGCGTTGGGTCTCTTCCCGTGCTTGACTACTTTGACACCTGTAGTCTCGTCACATCTCGATCCTGGATTGACTACTTTGGAACTTACAGTCGCACTACTTTTTGGCTTGGCAGTATTGACATCTGCAATCACGTCGGATCTCTTTTCGGGTTTGGTTCCCTTAACATCCACAGTCATACCTCGTCTTTATCTTGGCCTGGTCGTATTGACACTCACAATCGATCCAAGTCCTTTTCTTGGCTTAGTTGCTTTCTTACTTGTAGTTGTATTATTTCCTTTCTTGATGGCGATAACACTCGTAATCGCGCCAAAACTTGCTACTCCTCATTCTGACTCGTTTATTCGCCTGACGATAGCAGTAAGACGACTCTTATTGGGATATCCTCTAATCAAATTAGGGTCATCACAGAAGTAACACTTTAACTTTTCCTTGCTTGCCTTCTTCTTCACACAAGACTTAGCCTTGCCATTTTTTCCTAATGGCTTTTATTGGCTACAAACAGTCGATGGCTCACCTTGGCTATTCGAAGATATTCATCTACCATATCACAGCTGCACTTCTTTTTGATCTCCCCCACTTTTGCCACTATCCTTAGGCATGGGCTTGGACAACACAATGCTAGTTGGCTTATCTCCCGCAAGCTCGGTCAGCTTTCCAGCTACATCTATTGCCTCTGAAAGTCTCTAGGCATCTCCTTGCTCTCCCCCAAGTCTAAGTCCATCCAAGAAGGTCTTGAGCACACCCCATTCACTCACTGTTCCCTTGCATATGAGCAGATCCTTCTTGAGCTCATCCACCT